GGTCTTCACCTTCCCCTGGAGGAAAAGCTAAGGAAATCTGGGTCTTTTTATGCTTATAGAAAAGATGGCTCAATGAGATGTGATGGATGTTTATGGAATGGTGTACGGTGGCGAAAAGTAGACAGAGAGCCAGTGTGGTGTAGTGGTTAAGTGCACAGACTCTAATCTGGGAGAACCGGGTTTGATTCCCCACTCCTCCACTTGCACCTGGCTGGATGACCTTGGGCAAGCCATAGTTCTGTCAGAGCTGTCCTTGAAAAAGAGCAGTTTCTGTCAGAGCTCTCTCAGCCCCACCTACCTTACAGGGTGTCTGTCGTGGGGAGGAGAAGGGAGAGGAGTTTGTAGGCCGCTCTGAGACTCCTTTGGGTAGCAAAGGGCGGGGTATAAATCCAATCTCCTCCTCTTCTTCTAATCTGGGAGAACCGGGTTTGATTCCCCACTCCTCCACTTGCACCTGCTGGATGACCTTGGGCAAGCCCTAGTTCTGTCAGAGCTGTCCTTGAAAAAGAGCAGTTCCTGTCAGAGCTCTCTCAGCCCCGCCTACCTCACAGGATTGTCTGTTGTGGGGAGGGGGAGGGAAAGGAGTTTGTAAGCCGCTCTGAGACACCTTTGGGTAGTGAAGGGTGGGTTATAAATCCAATCTCTTCTTCCATTTCTAGCCGTTGAACTGAGAGGTGCTCCATGAAATTTGTGGGCACTGGATTCAAGAGAGACAAAAGAAAGGGTCTCTTCAAAGAGTAACCTGTTGGAATTCACTTCCACAGGTTGTAGGGATGGCTTGTTTGTTGTTGTTCAGTCGCACAGTCGAGTCCGACTCTTTGCGACCCCATGGGCCACGTCACCCCAGGCCCTCCTGCCCTCTGTCGTCCTCCGGAGTTTGCTTAATTTCACGTTCGTTGCCTCAATAACACTGTCTAGCCATCTCATCCTTTTCCGCCCCCCCCCGTCTTCTTTGACCTTCGATCTTTCCCAGCATCAGGGTCTTCTTCTCCAGGGAGTGCTCCCTTCTCATTGGGTGGCCAAAGTATTTGAGCTTCAGTTTCATTATCTGGCCTTCCAGGGAACAGTCAGGGTTGATTTCTTTTAGGATTGACTGATTTGATCTCCTTGCAGTCCGAGGGACTCTCAAGAGTCTTCTCCAGCACCATAGTTCAAAAGAATCTATTCTTCGGCACTCGGCCTTCCTTATAGTCCAACTCTCGCAGCCATACATGACTACTGGGAATACCATTGCTTGGACCATGCGTATTTTTGTTGGCAGGGTGATGTCTCTACTTTTTATCATGCTGTTTAGGTTCCCCATCGCTTTCCTCCCAAGGAGCAGGCGTCTTTTAATTTCATGGCTGCAGTCACAGTCTGCGGTGATTTGATGACTAGGGAGCCATGTACCTGATGTTATCTGCAGGTCGTCTTGAAGAAACAGGCTCTGAAGAACTGCTCTTCCAAAAGCAGCATCAGTTTTAGCACAGTGCATCACCACCAGGAACTTCTCAAAGGCTGAAGTCAGTGAACCAATAGCAGACCTGCAGAGATATGTCACCAAGTATCTGGAGAAAGTGGCAGAATCAGGAGCCATAATGACCCTTTCACAGTACTAGCTTGCTTGATACGTTCGCATCAAACTTTAAAGCCAGGCATCTTTCCCGGCATTTGAAAGACATGTTTGCACTCACTGGAGAAAACCCTGATGCTGGGAAAGACACAGAAAACAGAATGGCAGCTTGCTGACATACTGCCCCCCTTAAAATACACTTACAACACACCTCCCGGGTCGGGCGGGAGATCTCCCGGGCTGGGCGGGAGACCTCCCGGTTTGTCCGGGAACCTTCTGTGGAAACTACGGATCAGGTAAGGGGCCCGAATATCCCCTTCTTCCACCCATTCGCGGTGCTGGGGACCGAAATCAACCCATTCGATAAGGTACCAGAGTTTACCACGTTTCAATTTACAATCAAGGATATCAGCGATCTCAAAATGTTCATCCCCTTCCAAAATGACAGGTGGAGGAGGAGTAACTGCTGGTCTCCAGGGAGACGGGCCAGGATCCTTCTTCAACAGGCTCATGTGAAAAACAGAATGCAGAGCACGTAAATTCTTAGGCAAAACAACATCAACCGCCACATCATTTATGACTTTACGCACTTTGAATGGACCTATGAACTTCCACCCCAATTTCCTGCTAGGCCGCAGCATCTTAATGTTCTTGGTCGAGACATACACAAGATCCCCAGGTTTCAGATCAAACCCCACCACCCTACCCTTGTCTGCCTGGGTCTTGTAAGCAGCCTTGGCTGCGTCAAGTGTTTGGCATAGCAGAGGCCATGCTTTTTGCAAGGACATACACCATGTATCAGCATCCCCCACAGGACGTTGGCCCATCCCCTCCAAGAAAGGGAGGGGGGGACTGTCGTAACCAGATACAGCTTTATAAGGAGACATGCCTGTGGAGCTATGGACCGTATTGTTATAACAATATTCAGCAAGAGGCAACAATTCACACCAATCATTCTGTTGATAATTAGTGAAACAACGAAGGTATTGCTCCAGGGTCTGATTAACTCGTTCTGTTTGTCCGTCAGTTTCAGGATGATACGCGCTGCTGAGCCCTTGTTCCACCCCTAAAATGGAAAGAAGTTCCCTCCAAAACTTAGAAACAAATTGGGTCCCCCTGTCAGAAATTAACTTAGCAGGTAATTGATGAATTTTCACCACGTGAGACATAAACGATTTCGCCAACCTCTGAGCTGTAGGCAAGGAAGGAAAAGGCACAAAATGAGCTTGCTTAGAAAACAAATCAACAACCACCCAAATAACAGTGTTCCCTTTGCTCGCAGGGAGGTCAGTAATAAAGTCCATGGACACCACTTCCCACGGTCTCGATGGAGTAGGGAGTGGCTGCAGAAGACCAGGAGGCTTGCCCATCCTGGGTTTAGTTAAGGCACAGGTTTGGCAGGATCGAACAAAAGTCAAGAGGTCTTTGCGCATTTGTGGCCACCAGAACTGTCTGCGGATGAGTTGCAGAGATTTAACAAAACTCCAATGCCCTGCCAGTTTCGAACCGTGAGCAGACTCCATCACCTCCCTCCTCATTGAAATAGGCACATACAGTTTGTCTCCAGAATAAATCAGACCTTCAGGGCTACGGACACAATCTGGCAACGTTTTCAGGGAGGCATCATCCTCAGCAGTAAAAGCAGACAGATATTTCTGGACCCAGGCCCCCCCCCCAGGGAAAAGGGAAGGCGAAGTCTCATCAGAGTGTGGAATCGCTCGCGCTTGCGCCCGGGAGAGCACGGCCCCCCCCAGATGGGAGGGGGAAAAGACAGAGTCCATGATGATCTCACGCTGACTGTCATGTTGTGGGAGGCGTGAAAGCGCGTCAGCCAGGGAATTAGCCGCCCCAGGGAAATGACGAAGAGTGAATCGAAACTTAGCAAAGAAGTCCGCCCAACGAAGTTGTTTAGCGTTGAGAGAACGGGGGGATTTCAGCATCTCCAAATTCTTATGGTCAGTCCAGACTTCAAATGGCAGTTGCGCCCCCTCCAACCACTGCCTCCAAGTGGAGAGAGCCAGCCGGATCGCTGACGCCTCCTTCTCCCAAATCCCCCAGTTTCGTTCAGCGTCAGAAAACTTTTTAGACACAAATGCGAGGGGATGTAAACGACCATCTTCCCCTTCTTGCAAAATAGCGGCCCCCATTGCCACATCCGAGGCATCAGTTTGGACAATGAATTTTTTAGTTTCATCAGGGCGCGCCAGCACTGGCTCAGAGGTGAACATCAGTTTAAGTTTCTCAAAAGCCTCTGCGCAAGCAGGGGACCATTTAAGCGGGGCGCCTGGTTTCGTAGCATCAAAACCCTTCCCCTTGGTCTTTAGCAAATCAGTCAGGGGAAGGGCAATTTGAGCGAAATTCTGGATGAAATTTCTGTAAAAATTGGCAAATCCGAGGAACATTTGCAATTGTTTGCGGGTCCTGGGGGGCTCCCAGTCAAGTACAGCTTGAATTTTAGCAGGGTCCATTTCAACCGTCCCCCCAGAGATGCGATAGCCCAAAAAGTCAATGCATGTCTTGTGGAATTCACATTTTGACAGCTTTGCAAACAAGTGGTGTTCATAAAGTCGTTTAAGGACCTTGCGCACCAATTTAATATGCGACGGGAGGTCCTGAGAGTACAGCAACACGTCATCAAGGTAAAGGACCACTCCTTTGAATAGAAACTCATGTAGGACCTCATTGATTAGGTTCATGAAGACCCCCGGAGCCCCTTGAAGGCCGAAGGGCATAACGAGGTACTCAAACTGCCCCAAAGGGGTATTAAATGCAGTCTTACTTTCATCCCCCTCCCGAATGCGCACACGGAAATATGCATCTCGGAGGTCAAGTTTCGAGAAGATTTTGCCCTTGGTGGCCTCAGCTACCAAGTCCTTGATTAGCGGGAGGGGGTAAGCATTGGACAAAGAAACAGCGTTCAGACCCCTATAGTCAGTGCACAATCTAAGGCCCCCGTCTTTCTTCTTTCGGAAAAGTACAGGCGCGGCGAAAGGGGAGGAAGCCGGGCGAATGAAACCTCGGGCTAGGTTTTTATCAATAAAGTTCCGCAGTTCAACTTTTTCAGCCGGCCCCATCGCATAAATTTTACCTTTGGGTAATTTACAGTCAGGCAAAAGTTCAATAGCACAGTCAGTCGAGCGATGAGGGGGCAATTCGTTAGCTGCTGCCGAGTAGTCTCGAAGCTTAGCTGCTTGCTTGTGGAATTCCAGAGTGTACTCGCGAACCGACTTCTTGTTCTGGCGGTAGGTCCGGAGGAACGCTTTAGCTCTTTGACTCTAACAATATGTTGGATGTAGTCTCCAGCCCCCATCTGGAGATTGGAAACCCTATCTTTCTTGGCAATGTTTGCGGACCATTCAGGGGTGGCCCCTCTCGGAAGCACGCGGGCCCTCAATACATCGCCTTCGCTTCTCGTAACCCAGTCCGTTGTGTTTTCTTTGTTCCCTAGGGCCGAGAACTATTGGTGGCGAGGCCAGAACAAGCGGACCTTGAAAGTGGGCCAGTTCCCACGCAACACGGTGACCTCGGTGGCGGGACTCTCGGCCCACGACATCAGCCAGCCCCTGAAGAACAGCTTCATCCACACGGGCCATGGGGACACCAACCCCCACCAATGCTGGGGCTTCCCCGATAAGATTGACGAGTAAGGGCTCCGGGTGCTTTCACCGCCTCCTCTCCGGCTTTCTCTCCGGCTCCCTCTCGGTTCTCGGCCGTGTTCCCTCTAAGCTGCGTCAGTGTGAGCCAGCTCGCAGTTTTTTAGCCTCCGGCTCACACATTTTTGTCTCAGCTCAGGACGGAAGGCCCCAGAGCAAACCGATTCATGCAGCAGCCAAGTCGCTCTCTCACAACTTTAATGCCAGCGGCTCACAAAAATAGAATTTTGGCTCACAACACCCCACAGCTTAGAGGGAGCGCTGAGTCCAGTTATTCCCTCTAAGCCAAGTTAGTGTGAGCCAGCTCACAGTTTTTTAGCCTCTGGCTCACACATTTTTGTCTCGGCTCAGAAAGGATGGCCCCAGAGCAAGCTGATTTATGCAGTAGCCAAATCTCTCTCGCTCATATCTTTAATGCCAGCAGCTCACAAAGTCGAATTTTGGCTGAGAAGACTCCACAGCTTAGAGGGAGCGCTGGTTCTCGGCCTGACATTCTTGGGAGATGCGGCAGGGCCGGAGGTCATCCAAACTGGGGGTCCCCCGCAGATGCTGTTTAACGGTAATCCAAGCTCAAGAGACCCAAGTGTAGATCTCCCACCGTCTCATCTGACTTGAACCTCAACGTAATGGCAGGCCAGGTTTTGACCTATCTCGGCGATCACGTTCCACCAGCGATTGGCATCATGCCTTGGCGTTTCTCCTGCAGTAGAAGCATCTGCAGCATCTGTCGTCACCCTGCCATTGTGTGTGGGTGCAAGTGGGCACAGGCAGTGCGAGGCCAGCATGTTCCCAGGCGGCCAATCCCATGTGCCAACCCTGCCCTCGCCTTGTGCGGGCATTGCGTCCTGCCTGGATCTTCTTGTTCCCTGGGGTCATAGTGGTAGAAGAAGAAGAGAGGAGATTGGATTTATACCCTACTCTTTACTACCCAAAGGTGTCAGAGCGGCTTACGATCTCCTTTCCCTTCCCCTCCCCACAACAGACACCCTGGGAGGTAGGCGGGGCTGAGAGAGCTCTGACAGAAACTGCTCTTTTTCAAGGACAGCTCTTATCAGAACTACGGCTTGCCCAAGGTCATCCAGCAGCTGCAAGTGGAGGAGTGGGGAATCAAACCCAGTTCTCCCAGATTAGAGTCCACGCACTTCACCACTACAACAAACTGGCTCTCTTTGGCTGGACTTGGAGAACGACCTGAGGGAGATTGGGCTGAGTGGAGTAGGGTATTCCTAGCAGGGGGTGAAAGTGGCTGATAGGGGGGGTTTCATGGACCTGAGCGTAACATGGGAGATCCCCCACAACAATGCCAGCTTGGTATAGTGGTTAGGAGCACAGACT